TGATCTTCCAACCACACAGCCCCTGGCAGGGAGCCATGCCTGGGCATCTTTGGTGGGGCAATGCTGGGCTCCTTCCCCAAAGTGCTTTTCATGGAGCTGGGTCAAAAGTGCTGTCACTCAGTGGGAGGAACGAGGCTCTCCTGATCAGGGAGTTCCTATAATTCCCCATAGACTCTGCAGGCAAATCCCAGATTAACCTGACACGGTGGGAAGAGGATTAGAAGGGTGGTTACAGAAAGCACCAGAGGACACGGGGGCTTCAGCAAGTGTGTGCTAGGAGGGGACACTCCTCTCACAATCCAAGGGTGGGGGAAGAAGGCTCTGCCCCAGCACAGAAAGGAAAAGGTCAGCAGGAGCCCTGGAAGACAATGTGTATGGCCAGATAGTCAAGAGATACCTAAGGAAGACATGGAGCTGTAGAAGGGCCAGAGTGTGCTGGGTGCGTGTGATCTGTGAGCAGCCATGGAGGAAACTTACCTGCTGAATGTGGAAGGGGTCAAAAAGAAGATTCTGCATGGAGGCCGAGGGGAGCTGCCGAAGTTGCAGGATGGGAGCAAGGTAAATTGTCTGGGTTGTTCCTGCAGAGCCCTGGGAGTGGGAGCGGGTCTGACATCCCTGCCTGTTATGGTTCACAAGCCCAGCTCCAGGTCTGGGGAAGAGTGAGGGCCCTCACAACAGGGCTGCAGAGGGGCTGGTTTGGCCACAAGCAGACACATTTCTCACAGGGACAGCTGGCAGTGCCTCACCTTGCGCTGTGCCTGTGACACCTCCTCCCCGTGGCACCTTTGGAGCTCAGCAGCCCCGGCAGGTTGCTGAAACCTGCCTTTCCTGCCCTGTGCAAAGCAGGAATGAGATGTGCCAATGGGCTGTAGCTGGGACATTTCCCAGCCTCTGATCACCGTGGGTTCCACCAGTCCTGGAGCACACTGTGAGAGCACTCTGTGCACTGGGTTAGAAAGGGGGACCCACAGGGAGAAGCGAGCTATAGCATGGATGGATGTTAAGACATTTGACCATCTGCTTGCTGTCTCAAGTGGGCAAGAGGCACAATCTCCTGCTGTGGAGGGAGAGCTGTCAGTCAGCTCAGCACAGTGCTGGGAGCAGGCTTGACCCCACAGCTGAGGTCATCGTGGCTGCCGTGGAGATCTCACCGCTGGGCTCTCTCTGGGGCAGTTCACCTTCCACTTCCAGACGCTGAAGGACGACTTTGAGCGGACGGTGATCGATGACAGCCGTGAAGCTGGCATGCCCATGGAGATCATCATGGGCAAGATGTTCAAGCTGGAGATCTGGGAGACGCTGCTCAGCTCCATGAGGATTGGGGAGGTGGCTGAGTTCTGGTGTGACACCATTGTGAGTGAGGGGCCCATAGATGCCCACTTCCCTCCTTCCTGCAGAGCCAGGACACAGGACCCGTGTCATCTGCATCCCAGAGATGCTCTGGCCTTGTCTGGTGCAAACTCAGGGTGTGACTTGGCCTCAGCACCAGGGGTCTGCCCCAGACAAGGGAGTGCAGATGGCCCCCCAGGGCTGAGCAGGGCACTCCCCTCTTTGCAGCACACAGGCATGTATGCCCTGGTCTCCAGGGGCATGCGGAGGATCGCAGAGGGACGGGACCCCCTGGAAGGGCAGAAGCACCGCTGTGGTATGGGCAACATGTTTGACTACCACAGCACAGGCTACGATGACCTGGACGAGCTGCAGCGGACGCCACAGCCTCTCATCTTTATCATGGAGCTGTTCCGGGTAAGGGGGATGGCGGGGATGGCTGCCAGAGCAGGAACAGCTGGGACAGGCCGCTCAGCTCCTCCTGCTTGGGCAGGTGGAGGACCCCTCAGCGTACAAACGTGACACCTGGGCCATGAGCAAGGAGGAGAAGCTGGCAGCAGTGCCTGTACTGCACAGCGAGGGCAACCGCCTCGTCCTGCGCAGGGAGTTCGCACAGGCGGCGGCCAAGTACCAGGAGGCTGTCATCTGCCTCAGGAACCTCCAGGCCAAGGTGAGCAGGACCAACACCTCCCCATCCCTGCCTGGGTTACACCTCAAAGCACTTCCCTGTGTGCCTTGGGTGCCTGGGAGGGGATGGACACAGCCATGAGCCAGGGTTGCTCGTGGGGCAGGAGAAGCCGTGGGAGGATGGCTGGCTGAAGCTGGAGAGCCTGGTCACACCGCTGGTGCTCAACTACTGCCAGTGCCAGCTGGAGCTCGGCGAGTACTACGAGGTGCTGGAGCACACCACGGAGCTTCTCCAGAAGCACAATGGTACCTGTGCCCTGCATCCCGCCGCCTGCTGTGCCCACGGCTCCCAGAGGCTCCATCCTCTGAATCCCCCATCTGTGGCAATGCTCATCCTGTGTCCCCCTCTGCCCGTAATAGCACCTGTGTCATCTGGATCCCTGTGTCCCAGTTTGCCCTGCCCATGACAGTGCTCATGTCACTGGTTACCCTGCCCACAATGTCCCCCCACCCACCACACCATCCTTCCCCTTTCCACGATGATCCCTGCACTCCCTGTGCCCTGCTGCCCGTGACCACCCCACACCCCACCGCTTCACATCCCCTGGTCCCCCGGGTCTCCAGCCCCTGTGGCTGGTGGCCCTGAGCTGCAGGACCCCCAGTGAGGGCTCTGTCTCCTGGCAGACAATGCCAAGGCCTATTTCAAGCGGGCAAAGGCCCACGCTGCTGTCTGGAACGAGAGGGAGGCACGGGAGGACTTCCAGCGCGTGGCTCACCTCGACCCCTCCATGGCGGCCGCGGTGAAGAAGGAGCTGAAGCAGCTGGGCGAGAGGATGAGGAAGAAGCACGTGGAGGATCGAAAGCGCTACCAGGGCCTCTTCCAGTCATCCCAGGGTCTGAAGGCCCGTGAGGGGCAGGAGAGCAGGGAGGTGGGTGATGGGGCACCTCAGGGTGAGGCTGGGGTCCAGGAGACCCCTGGGCAGGGGGAGCAGGGGGCTGAGACTGAAGTAACAGAACAACCCAGGGCTCCTCAGGCAGAACGAGGGACCCCCAGGGCTGGGGGTGAAGGGGCAGCACCAGGAGGAGCAGAATCCTGGGGGGAGCCTGTGGGAGAAGAGGTGGAAAGGAGGGACTGGACAGCAGTGGGGGAAGAAGCAAACCTGAGCACCTGTGGGGTAAAGCCAGAGAGTCTGGGAACAGAGGAGGAAGATGAGAAAGAGGAGGAGAGGAAAGAGAAGAAAGAGGAAGAAAAAAAGGAAGAAAAGGAAGAAAAAGAAGAAAAAGAAGAGGAAAAGGTGGAGAGGGGGGCAGAGGAAGAAGATGGAAAATTGGAGAAGGACAAGGAGGTAGACAAGGAAGAAAAGGAAGACAAAGGGGAGAGGGAGGAGAGGGTGGAGAGGGGAGTAGAGGAAGAAGGTAAGAAATTAAAAGAGGATGAAGAAGTAGAGAAGGAAGAAGAAAAGGAAGAAAAAGAGGAGAGGGAGGAGGAGGCAGTAGTGAAAGGGAAAGTGGAGAAGGACAAAGAGAAAGAGTATCTACCAGCAAAAATAGAAAAGCCTGAAGCAGGGCACTTGGGGACAATAGGGGAAACAAAGGCAGCAGGGTTAGTGCAAGGGTTGGAGCAGGGAGCCAGTGGAGCAGAGGGAGCTGGCACAGGGAGTGAGGTCCAGGCTCAGCCAAAGACAGCCCCACATCTGGGGCCTCCCAGCAAAGGGCTGGAGAATGAAACATCTGGGGAGGCTCTGGAAGAGGTGAGCTGCAGGGAGCAGGGAGCAGGCAGTGGACAAGAAAATGCTGGGGAAGCCAACATCCCCACAGAAAGCTTCACCCCTGGGGAAGGTGAGGAGCTGGGTGGAGGAGCAAAAACACCCCCGTTCCCCCTAGCAGCCAGAGCAGGGGATGCTGCACCCCTGGAGCAGCGCAGCAAAGAGCAGGGCTGTGAGCAGCCCTGAGCAGGCCGCTCAGCCCTGCTTGGGGGAACAGCTGCCAGGCCACTGACAGAGGCACAGCACAGGCAGCAGGGCTCCTGTACCCTGGGAGGGAGCCCCGGGTCTGGGGACTGGCCTGGCAGTGACAGGGGAACAATGCTGTCCTCACCCTGACACTGCTGTGCAGCCCTGCCCTGGCTCCAGCGCCTTTCAGCTGGGCGCCACCGAGCTTTCCTGGCTGAGAAATAAAAGCTCTTCCCTGGCACCGCAGGCTGGATCTGTTCCTGAACGTGCCCAGCTTCCCTGATCACACTGCACACCTCCTGCCTCACCCTGCAGCCCGTGGCACAGGCATGGGGCACTTTGTGCTGCTCTTGACAGGGGTGCTGAAGGAGGCTGCATTTCACCCCCCTTAAGCTCCTGAACCTTTCTGGCACGAGTGTCCCCAGACTTCCCTGCAGTGGCAATGTGTCAGGGTTTTCCCAGCAGTGCCAGCCCTTCCAGGCAGGGGTGAGAGCAGGTCCAGCTCAAAAACTGTCTGTCCTGGGCAGGCTTCACCATCAGCCAAGTCTGGGCAGTGGTGAGAGCCCCAGAGCCCCTGGCCTTACCCTGAACTATTGTTCATCTGAATTATTGTGCCACAAAGGCACAGCAAACACGGGCAGCACCTGAGGCTGAGGCACCCAGATACCTCTGGGCACTGAAAACTTCATGGAGCTCCAGAGAGAAGGGAGGGAAAGGACTGCCTTGCCTGCCCAGCATCCCACTGCTCTCTACCTCCTGCCAGGGGCTGAAGGGTTTCCTACAGCCAAAATTCCTGGGTGACAAAGAGAGACTGTCCCCACACAGCCCCTGTCCCACCCCTCAGGCAGCCACATGGCCTGAACAGACCTTGTGGGAAGAGGATGAAGAGGGTGTCTGGGGGAAACAACCTGTGTCTGGGGATCCTGGGGCTCTGCTCACAGCTGCTGTTCTGCCTCAAGTGGTGTGGACAGCCAGGGTGACACAGTGACTGTGTCCCAGCAGCCCTGCAGGAGCAGTGCCAGGATGGCACAGCAACAGGAGCTGACTCAGCCGAGACGCACAGATAGAGGAGGTCAGAGCACTTTTCCAGCTCTCAGTATAAATACAAATTTATTCTCTTTCCAGAGCAGAGATGCCACAAAGCAGTGAGGACAGCAGCACCACAGTACATGGTTACCAGAGCATTAGCCAGCCTGCTCCCCTCCCTGACACACCCCTGGCTCCCAAACACAGCCCAAGCACCCAACCTGGCCACCTCTGCTCCCCACACCTGCCACTGGGGCCAGCAGCTCTGACCTCATCCTGCCCTTTTTCCTCCTCCAGTGCCCCCCAAGGCTGGATACTCCTGACCACACCCTCAGGCCAAGCCTCACTCTGCTGCTCCCCAGGCTCCATCCCATGCCCCTGGGATAACAGAGGGGTCCAGCTGGGTCTCACAGGCTGGCCTGTGGTCCCTCTCACCCACAGCCTGACACAGCATGCCCAAAGCCACCCTAATGCCACCACACTGCCCTCCTGCCACTCACCTGGCCCGGGCAGGGGACAGCAAGGACAGCCATCCACACTGCTGCCAGCAGACACTGGAGCACTACATGCTCAATAGTCCTGGCTGTAAGGCTCACACCACCTTATCCTTGGTGTGGGAACTGCTCCTCACCTCTGCCAACACCCCAGAGCCAAGCCCACAGCCCTGGGCTGACACCCTGCCCTGGTCACAGCCTCCCCAGAGAGTTCAGTATGATGTCCCATCCCAGCCAGCAACAACAGCCCTGGCTCTGTCCTTGCAAGCCCTGTTTAAATCGGATGTTTCACCTCAGTGTGCAGCCCTACCCTGCCCCGAGGGCTCAAGCCTCTCATCTCTCCACACCCTGTGTCTCCAGAGCACCAGGGCCATCTCAGCCCCAGCTCTGGGTTACCCTGCAGCACCTGACTCTGCCTCTTTCTCGACATAACAGCACCAGACAGCCAGCCCGAGGGACCCCTGGGGACCTGGAGCCACCAGCCCCAAGCTGCCCTGCCAGCTGGCAGAACAACCTCCCTGCACTGCCCCACGGGACCCCTCCCAACCAGGGCCTCCAGCCCCCCACTCAACACAAAGGTGGGGACAGCAGCAGGGCAGCTGCTCCCTGGGGGCAGCAAGGAGGAGCCCTGCCTGTCCTGCTGCCCACCCACACTGCCATGCACTTGCACCAGACCAAGGTGGCCCCAGGGCTGGAGTGTGGCTGGAGAAACCCCTGAGGCTCCCCAGGGATGGAGCTGGGTCTGTGCAGGACAGGCTCTCTGTGCCATGGCAAAGGCACAAGATCCCCAGGAAACCAGGCAGGATGAAGTACCTGCCCTCACTGAGCTCCCTCACAGCAGCCCTGCAAGGCAACACCAGCAACAGGGAAGGTGCTGGCTCCCCTGGGAGCAGGAGTTGGGCTGGTCTGAAAGTGAAGGGCAGCTACACTTAAGGTATTAGAGTTTAATAGAGTGAGTCCATGAGAGTGTTTAAGTACAGTATATATATATAATATATAGAAATATATGCAAATTAAACAATAAGGCTCTGTTATAAAGACCCTCTCAATATAAGGCTACTAGCTGGGCTGAAGCTCTAACATGGACTCAATCCCTACTCCGTAAACCTCACAGACTCTCTCCTGGTGGTATGTGCCTGGCTGGCTGCAGAGCCTTGGGTGGCAGAGTTCAAACCATAAGGCTGGCAGCTGGTTACTGCTATAAAGAGTTATTTTAAAAGTTGTGTGGCTCCAAGAGTGTTTTGATGCCCATAGACCTGGAGGCTCCTGGGCACAAATGAAGAGTGGGATGCTGAGCTCTGCATCCCCCGAGGGCTACAGGCAAAGGCAGCAGCCCATGGGTGCCAGGGGAGACAGGCAGTTTTCATGGCTTCAGCTCTTTCTTCTGAACCATCCCACCCAGGCTCAGCCACTGTGTGACCAAACCAGCCTGCTGGGGAGCCCACAGTCCCACTCCTGCATGACCTATGTTCCCCTGAGATCTTCTGGAGCTGGCAAGCATCCTGCACCACCAGCTCGGAGGGAGTCTGTGTGAGGGCTGCTGCAGCACAGGGAGCATGGCAGGGAGAGAGGGGGAGGAAAGCAGCCAGGTAGCTGGTTAGGAAAAGCCTCTGGCTCACAGGAGGTGTTAGATAAGGGAGGTCATACCTGAAAGAGAAATAGACAGGTCAGGAAAGCAGGACCCAGAGCCACCTGGTTAGAAAGGGGCTGCTGCAGAGCCAGAAGGATCTGGCCATCCCAGGGATGGCAGAAAGTGGGCAAGAGTCTGCATGGGCAGACCACCACCTCATGTTAGTGCTGGCACCAAGCAATGTCTCCCTCTGGCAGCCTGGACAAGAGACTGAGTGCTGCTCCTGCACTGGAGCACAGAGGGAAAGAGCAGAATGACCAACACCAAAACCTCGCTGAGTGGAGTGCCACCCACACACACATCCCCCAGTCTCCATCCCTGCTGGGAAGAGCCATCCATGAGCAGCCAGGAGAGCTTGCACCATTGCTTCCATCTCACCAGGCTACTGGGGCCTCGACCTCTCCTGCAGAGGGGTCTGGACAGGGATGAAGCCAGGAGGTGGCTCAAAGCTGTTGCTGCAGGTGGTGCTGACAGGTCTGTCCATCCTCATGGTGGGAGCCCCGTGGAGTGCAGGGTCCTGAGCAGGGCAGGAGGCTGCCTTGCAGCTCATCACGGGGATCTGTTTGGTCTGTGCTCTTGGCAGCTCTGATCTCCTCTCCTTGCAGGTGTGAAGCCTCCTCCTCCTCCTCCTCCGTTCCCAGGCCACGCTCCTGTCCCAGCAGCACTGCAGCAGCAAAGCTCTTGGCTGAAGCACTGTGGGTCATCAGCTGTCGCAGGGAAGCTGGGACCAGGGCAGGGCTCTGTGGGGAAAACCTCACCTGAGGGAGCAGTAAAAAGCGAGAGAGGAGGATTTCACTCAAGTACCTCGAGAGTTGGGGAAGGCGCTCCGCAGCTTCTCCATTATGTCTTCCAGGCACATGCTGACTTCCTGGGTTTTGGCTTCCACCTCGTCTGCAGCGGGAAGGAGGGCAGGTGGGTATGAAAAGGCTCTCTGGACATCCACCTGACTGCCTGCATCTCTTCAGGATAGCAGGGAGCAGGCAGCTTCCTGCAGCATGGAAACAAGGGAGCGGGGCCAGGGGCTCAGCCCAAGCCCAAACCTCACCTGCAGTTTCAGTGTCAGGGGTGTTGTGCTCTCTCTCCTTTGCCTGGCTGCCTTCTGACTGATGTGGAGATGAAGCCAAGGACGAGGCTGCTGAACCATTGCCTTCTGACTCTGCTGGAGGCTGAAGTGAGAAGAGTTGTTGTGAGAAGCTTGTCGTGATCCTCTGTCCTTGGCTTCCCCTGCTCTGCCCATGCCCTTAGTGCCATTGTCACAGCTCTGCTGTGGTAAAACCCACCCCATCCTTGCTCTGAGCCAACCTGCAGCAGCAGCTCCCTCAGCCTGTGCAGCTGTGACTCCAGCTGCTTGTTGTGGTCCTCCAGGATCTGCATCCGTGTCTCCAGGCGGCTCTTGTGCTGCCGGAGGATTCGTGCTTCTGCCAGGAGCTCGTCGTTCCGCGGGTCTTGCACTGATTCAGGAGAGCCTGCAGCCAAGGTTGGAGACTCCACTGCCTCATCATGCTGCCATTTCAAACGTCTCAGCTCTCCCTGGAGGATCCTGCAGGACAGCCCAAGTCAGCATCCCCTCAATCCCTCCTAGAGACTGCCCCGGGAGCTGCACACTGGGGCTGGCCCACGACTCAGACAAAGCTTTGCTGTTTGTGAAGCTCAGGGGCCAGGATGCTGCACTGCAGAGGGGCCTGGATGTGGTTCTACCCCACACAGGGGGTGCACAGGTATGCAACCGCTTCCCAAGAGGCTGAAAACAAGGGCAGGGAAAGCATCACCTCCTCCTGAGCTGGTGTGCCCTGCCTAGAGCCTCACCCTGTGTTGTCCAGAGCAGCAATACCACTGTGCATGAGGGGCTCAGGGACAAGAAAGACAGAGTGCCCTGGGCTCACCTCAACCTGTTTGGGGTTCAGGGGGGAACAGGTTCTGTGGATGTAGGAAGGAATATTTTGGGGAACAGAGTCACCTCCTTTCCTTGGAGAGCCCACCCTCACTGAGTTTTAGTGCTCAGCTTGTTTAGACACCCTCCAAAACTGCCTTCTCAGCATCTGCAACCCCCACCTCCAGACCCAGCAGCATCCCCTGGCACCACTCTGAGCTCTACAAGGCTTCTCCAGTCCCTTCCCCCCCTCTCAGGTATAACCCCCAGTTTCAGAATTGTCCATGTTTCTACCTGTTTTCATCCTCTAAGTGGGACAGGACTCTTTCCAGCTCTCCCTTGTCATCCATGTTGAGGCTTCCTGGAACCTGCTGGCTGCCCCCAGGCTCTCTGTCAGTGATGGGGCTGGAATGGCGCAGCAGGTACTGGTCCTCGTCCCTGTTCCAGCAGGTGGAGAAACACCTTAATTAGGAAAATCATGGGATTTGTGTGCCCTTGGGGAAGGACAGCATGGAGGGAGGCAGTTTCATAGCAGAGCTCCTGGCAGCTCCAGGTCTAGAGCTCAGAAGGGGCTCAGCATCCCTGGTAGCTGGGGGTGCCCAAGAGCCTCTCACTCAATGGGAAGGAAAGCATTTCTGTACCCTGGCTAGGCATGGATAGAGCCCCAGGAGCCCTGACTCATCAGGAGGTGAGGAGAAGGGAAAGGAGAACTCACAGGCTGTCATCAGGGGACAGGCTATCACTGAAGAAGGAGCAATTCTGGCTTTCCATCTCTGCAAGCCTGGGGGAAAGAGATAAAGGTTGAGATATGGTCAGAGACACCCTAAATGTCTGCTCAGTGCATCCTACTTGCAGCAGCCCCTGCAAGAGTCCTCTCTGGCAGGGTCTCCCACCTGGCCTGCACCAGTCTGTCCCTCTGTACAAGCTCTAGAGAGTTTTGCCTTTTTAAAAACCAAAATACACTGCTGCTCTGGAGGCAAGTCTCTAGAATAAAGAGCTGCTGCTGTGCAATCAGCTCATCCTCCTCTCTCACAAGCAAAGGAAAGCAGTCTAAGAATTCTAGCTCCTGCCTAGGACCTGAGCTACAAGTACAGGCTCCCTGTACCCCTTGGGTCCCCACAGCAAGGACAGAGGCACCACACACCACAAGGCAGCAGCAGTGGGAAGCTGGCAAACAGCTCTGGTGAGGACACAGAGCAGAACAAGACACAGAGGGATGTGCCTGCTGAGGATCCATCCAGCAGCTCACACTGGGAAGAGCAGGACAGCACATGGAGGCTGCTGCACCACCGAGACATCTGCTGTCAAATGCATGGTCCTTGCTGCCAATTGACACAGCATCAGCCATATTCCAGGCAGGTTTGCTTGCCTCTGCAGCATGCTGGGGCAGGTGGGGAGGTCTGTGACCATATATCTGCCCCAAAGCCCACCCCACACCCAGGCAGGGCAGCAGAGCCCAGTGGTGGTACCTGCTGGCAAAGTGCTCGATCCGGGAGTGTGTGTCGGCGTGTGGTAACATCGGGGAGGAGGCTGGGCTGCAAGAGATGCACACTGGTCAGCAGGACTTGGGAGAGGCTGATCTCACCTGGCTGAGAAGAGCCAGGGATGGGTTGGACAGAGACTGAAATCTCCATTCCTTCAAGAACAAGGTGCCATATCACCCCCAGAGCCCTCCCCCAGGAGCCCTGTACAAGCTGAGATGCTCTTTCCATCCACAGAACCCACGTCTCATTCTGGGCCAAAAGACAACCCAGGGCACAGCCAACTCACGTCTCAGAGAAGTCAGCCTCGAGCACAGACTGGACGGGCAGGTAACCCCTCTGTGGGTGCTTGCTGAAGTATTGCTTGGAGCGAAACTTGTTCTTCAGTGTCGTGGCAAAGTCCCTCATGTTCTCACTGGATGTGGTCTGCAGAGACACAAATATGACAAAGGTGCCTGTTTAATGAAAAGTGGGGGACCACATCTCAGCACCCACAATAAGATATCCCCTCAGGCTGGGCATGAGCTCCACGGGGAAGAGGCAGATAAAACTGAGGAAGCAAGGAGGGCACACAGCAGCTCTGTAAGCTTGTCATGGAGCCAAGCTGGGCACTGAGCACCCATCTCACCACGAGAGCCCCAGAATAGCAGGGACACAGGCAGCCTCCAGCATGCAGAGGGTACAAAACTACACACACTTGTGGGGCTGCACCTGCCTAAACATCACAAGGCTGCTGCCATCAGTGGGCTCTGCTCTGAGCCAGGGCCCTCCCAGCCCAGCCCAGCCCAGCCCCATACCGGGGTGTAGTACTCCATGATGGGATAGTGCAGCTTGTTGCCCTTGCTGGCTCGCCCGGTGAGGAAGCAGGTCTGGCAGATATCCACATTGAACTGCTTCAGGCTCCGATACCTGGAGAGGTCAAGAGGCCATAGGGAAGCACTGAAAGTCAGCAAAACATGTTTAAAGCCCAAGAAGAGGTCAGTAGGAAGGGACAGAGGTGGTCTGTGTTGCTCTAACACCCCAGTGAACCCACAGTGCTGGTGGCTGAAGTCCCCAGAAGAGCACTCTGCTCCTTCCCCTTAGCTGTCACCTGCCCTGCCCAGCCTGAAACACTGCTGGCTGCAGAGCTCCAGGCTCCCCCAAGAGCACAGAGCAAACTGGGCTCTCTCCTGCAGGACACACTTCCCTTGGGGCCAGGGTCCCGTACCACAACCCTTACCTGAATCCCTTGATGGGGCACTGCCGGCACACGGAGCACTTGGTCTGGTGCTTCACCTGCTCGGCCATGGTCACCCGGTGCAGCACCGCCAGCCACACCATGGACTGTGGCTCCAGGTTGGCCCACTCCAGGAACTGGGATGCCTCAATGGCAGACTTGCCATTACTCTGGAGAGGGGAGAGGAAGGGGTTGCTCAGAGCTGGCTCCCAGCCGTGGCGGGGTGCAGGTCCCCTGCCACCTTGGGAGCCTGTCCCCAGCACAGCTGCTGCAGACCATGGCCCCGCACTCACGAAGCGGAAGCAGCTGCGGATGCTGGGCTCCACGTTGCTGCCCCCGAACGCTGCCACCTCCCCCAGCTGTCGTGGGACCTGGATGGCCTCGTGGAGCAGGACGCCGAGGTGCCGCTGGTCACACAGTCCCCCGGCGTTCGCCACTTGGCTGAAGAGATCTGCGGGCACGGCAGACACAGCTGACACCCAGCGCCAGGCAGGCACCGGGAGCAGAGCGTGAGCCACACCAGGGACCCACTGGCCACCTCTGGCAGAGAGCTCCAGTAAGAGGAAAAACCTGAGCTATGCTTAAATAACTTTCACCAATATCCTTTCAGCTCCTAATTCAGTTTAGCCTCTTCTTCGGACAGGGGTTACATACAGCATTTATTAAACAGCCCCAGCTAGCTTGTCCTCTGTGAATCAGCCCAATCCCTTTATTTAACCCCTTGGTACTCCCTATGCTACACAACGTTCCATGGTTAAAATGCAGTGAGGAAAACAACTTGCCTGAAACCTGCTTCCCCCCCAGCCATGCACCCCTTGGTATGTTCCTTCTGGAAAGCATTGGATAACTTTCCTGCGTGCCTTCTCTGCACTGTTCCTTACAGTGCCATGCAAGCAAGATCACTGCAGCACCTGTCAGTCTACAAAAACGCCTCCTAATCTCAGTGGCGTAGGCCTAGGGAGGGAGGGAGAGGTGATGATGCAAGCAGCTTAGTCACTGCAGGAAAGTGACTTTTCTTTGTCTTTTTCTTTGCTCTCCCTGGGCAAAGATGGTCTAAGCCAGGAAACAAAACCACTCTTGTTTTCCCAAGGTGAATTCCCACCAGGTTCTAGGTTCAAGGGACTCACACTGGAACTTCTCCTTGACCTCCGTCCCGCACAGACACGCGATGCCTGTCTTGAAGGAGAGAGCTCTCATCTTCCCGCTGCGGCCACTGCAGGACAAGACATTGCACAGGTTGGCAAATGTTCCAGAGTGGGTTTTCTTGGCAGGGGGGTCATCAAGGCAAGCACACGCCAGGCAGCCTCCCCTCAGCTGGAAGAGCAGCAGGGAGGTTTCCTCCCAAGCACGGCAGCCCCAGGGCTCAGGGGACACTGAGGGACAGGCACCTGTCAAAGACATTCAGCAGCCAGTTGAGGCTCATGTCCACGCAGAGGGGCACGTTCACCAGGATGCCCCGCTCCTCCTCCAGCCGCTCGTAGAGGGCGGTCAGGCAGTGGATGACCTCCACCACGTCCATCGCCCGGTCACCGGGCTGCAGGTCGTGCTCATTAAAGATTTCCAAAGCCGTGGCCAGGGTGACCATGTCCACTGCACAGAAAGCACAGGCAGAGGGATCAGAGGGAAAGAGGGGAGATGAGAGAGGTGAGAACCAAGAGGAGAGAGATGCAGTCCTGCCCTAATCTGGGGTAATGTTAGTCCCACCATGCTGGGAACGATGTTGGTAGGATGGGTATAGCTCCTAGAATTTCTCTCCTGCCTGTAAACCTCTCCCAAAATACCACATCTCCACCTTGAGCCACCATTTTCCATGACCTTCCTTCCTCATTGCTGTGTCCAGCCACGGCCATGAAAATGCTAGCCATGGGAGGCTCTGTGCAGAGCCCAGTGCTGGCCTCCTTGCACGTGCCAGGCCCCTGTGGGGCTGGTGAGGGGGCACAGACCCACACAGGCTCTACAAGCAACTGCCCAGAGATGGATAAGTCCTGTCTCCAGCTCTGCCAGGGTGAGAGAGTTAAGACACAAACCCAAAACAGGGCTAGGACAGCATGAGCTGCCCTGGCTGCTCTGCTTTCAGATTTCTACAGCTGCAGGTTGTATGTGCTATTGTGTCAGCAACCAGCAATATTTCTTTCCTGAAAGTTTTTCCATCTTTGAGACCATTTAAATTCACTGTACCTAGGGGATTGTGTGCCTTTTCCGCACTGTAACTTCACTCTGAAAAAATCCTCCCTTCTCCTGTCAAAGCTGCTACACTTGCACTGGGAAGCCCCAGTTCCTGTGCCAGGGAGTATCGCTCCTGCCCACCCTCTGTCCACACTGCCCACGACTGCATCTGGCTCTGATCTATCCCTCACTGCCTCTTTCCTACACAGCCACTCCACCAAACTTCTCATTATGGGAAAGCTGCCTTGGCAACCTCCTTGCCCTTTCCTCAAGTATATCTTGAGTAAAGAGCACTTATTCAAGTCATTTCTGGGGTGGAGAGAAAGCGACAGTGCAGCATGTGAGATGCTAGAGATGCACAACCAAAGATGCAAAAGCAGAACACATGAGGGCTCTCCTCTTTGTCCTTGTTTCCTCTCCACACCTTGTCTGCTGCTGCATGGGCACCTTAACAGGGTGGCAAAAGCCACCTACTGCTTTCTTCCATTTGCATTACATCACCCCTGAATGTGCCTGGGTACTGGACAGCCTGATCACCAGTGTTATGGAAATGCTCCACAGCCAGGGTTTGACTTCCTTGAGAACCCAACCTCCTCTTGCCCTGACTCATTGCCTTCTTCCAGCCCTTTCACAGGATGTCAAGGAGCACAGGTCTGCCTGGGCCCCCACTGCTGCCTGGCTGTACCTCCTCCCCTCCATGAACAATTACTTCAGGAGGAGGATTTCCCTCAGCCTGCTGCTGCTTAATTTTGACAGAGCCTTAGGTGAGAGGCTTTGTCTAAAGCTCTCAGCAGCCAAGGATGCCCCATCTATCAGATTCCCATCTGCCTGCTTGCCAGTTCCACCAGAAACTCCTCAGCAGTTTCCAGGAAGCAGCTACCTCTTTCAGAGATGCTTGAACTCCTGTTGTATCAAATTCACCCAGTTATTAATCCTCCAGTTTTCACCAAGAGTGCAGAAGTCAGGTTTATTGGCTCCCTCCCTCCCCTTTAAGTGGTGAATCCCTCTCTGTCCCTGCCAGTGAGGCTGGTTTCATCTCTCAGTTACATCCACACCTTCTGCGTGTTCCTTTGGAGCTGCTTCGTGACCCCCTCCCTGCCTGATCCCACAGCTTTGTAACCCCGAGCTGGACCACTTTGTTCTCATATCCCTTTGGCCAACACCTGCCCCTGAGTCATTTCCACCCCAAACCTGCAAAGAAAGGCACTGACACAGACTGAGATTTGCTCAGCTTCCCAGGCTCATCTTCCTGGTTTCTCGCCTCAGCTACCTGTCCCCTGGTGCCTCCTGCCTTTGATGTGCTGATAAAAGCTTGTGTTAGTTTAATGCCCTCACTGAGGGAGGCCCAGCAGGAGGGAAACCCTTCCCACACTCACATCGAAGGGCTTTTTGCACCCGCCGGAGTTTCATGGCCGTCCGATATGCCGAGAACTTGATGTTGTTCAAATCCGCTGCAGAGACACAGGAAAACAAGAATAAAACCACAACATCTCTATCTCCAGGGCAGGAAGCAGCAGTCGCAGTTCTCAGACCCCAGCCTCACCAGCAGAAGCTGAGCACACGCAGGAGAGCGTGGAGCAGAGCCTGGCAGGGGTCACACCCCGCTGCTTTGGGGGACCCTGGGGCACAGAAGGGAGCAGGTGGCCTGGGGGAATCTCACATGCACCCCACGCTGCAAAAAAGGCAAGGACTACTCGAATGGTTCTGTGACAGCCTCCTTACCCAGCGTCTGGTACAACTCTGTCATCTTTGGGTGGTCCCAGCACGTCGTCTGGGCCTGGTGGCTGGAAGCAAAATAGATGGAGACCAAGAGTCAATCTGGTAACCAAAAGCTGCCACGAGAGATTAAAAAGAAGGACCTGGCCAGAGCTGGGAGCAAGTGTTTCAGTGTCTGCAGGCACTGCTGCATCCCACTGAGCATAGTCCCCAGCCACAGCAGCATGAAGGATGCCCACAGCAGGATATCCCCACTTGCTGCCAGCCCCCTCTCCTTCCAACTGGGGTTTCCCCTCATCTTGGGCATCCCAGCAGGGAAATCCTGGATCTGCCAGGATTAGGAAGACCTGCTTCACTGGAGGTGAGTTCTCACTCCAGTCCGTTCACTGCCCCACTCCCCTAATTGGTGCCCAATTCCTGATCCTGCCAGGCCAGGGAAGACCTCGGGCAGTGTTTGGGAACACACTCACTTGATGTAGTATGGCACTTTGTTGGGGGAAATGGCTCGCTCCCAGGGGACCTGGACAGAGGCTGCAAGGAGAGAAGCACGTGTCAGATCAACACCAAATGCTCCTCTAAGCCGATGCTGTTTCTGACACCAGCCCTGCAGGACTGTGCCAACAGGTGGGAGCTTCTGAAAAGACTTCCCAAATCACCAGCTGGAGGTGTTGGTGCAGGCAAGGGATGCTGCCTATAAGAAAGTCTCAAGACTGCTGGTCTTGTTAGAGACATCCTGCCTCTCGAGCCAGGGGCTTTGTATCTGGCTGAGCTCAGAACTCAGGAAGAGACATTTCCTGATGCTTTAGATGATGCCCAAGGCAACCTTGTGGTCATCAGTGGGCAGGGCTCATAGCAGGGCACATAGACACAGCACTGCCTGTTATGACCAGGCTCAGACACCCAAACATCTGTTGTTCCTGTTATTCCTGCTCTGTGTGCCAGCTGCAGTATCTTGGGAAGATGAGGATTCATCCCATACCAGCTGCCTGCCACCCTGTTTTATAGAGGATGGAAGCCATGGCATGACCCTCAGTTATTTTCCTTTTTCACAGGTAGAGTATCAATTCCAGCAAATGGAAAAGTCATTCTTCCTTTCAGATAGGAGAACACAGTCTGCAGAGAAGCACAGGCCAGCAAACCCCACTGACATCCAGAGACTCTGCAGGGCTCAGCATCCCAAGGACAGACCCCAGGCTCCAGAGCACAACTTGCTGCTCACCCTTTGCAGTCTGAGAGCTGTCAGCCAACAGCTCTGGTCTGTAAAAACAGCATCCCTCTGCCTCACCCCATGAATGAAAACCTCCTGAAAAGGCACATTTTTAGCCTCCAAATAACTAACACGGGATACGAGGGACTGCCTCTTCCTGCCATCTGTTGTCTTGCTCTGAGGCTGACACAGTCCCAGTGTCCCGTGGGAGCTGCTGCTGCTGCGAGTGTCACAGCTCTGTGCTCTGAAGGGAAACCACATTCCCGTCCCACCCTTGGTCCCACAAGGTGAGCAGCACAATGCCAACTTTTGGAGCCTCCTGATTCGGCTCCTGTGCACCAGCCTGGGCTCTTTTCCAGCTTTCTGCATGGCTCTGGGCTCAGCAAAAGGACTTTCCACCCTGTTTTCCTGTACCACAACCCAGGCTGCTCTGCTGAGGCAACCTGGTGGCAGAAGCCAGGGGGATCCACTCACGTACAGGAGAGGAAGTGCTGGGAGCCTGGTCCAAAGTCACGGTGGGCATCTTGGAGCTGCTTCAGGCGTTCATTTATGGAGGCCTGGACAATTGAAAAACAATTCACTGGCAGTCCAACAGGCATTTTGGATTGATGACCCATTCAGGAAGGCTTGTGGGTGGCCTCAGACATGCCCCAGCACACAGATGCTTCTTCTTTCCTCTCCTGTCTTGGTGTTTGTGTCTTCCTCCAGCCTGCTAAACCCTCTACACCTCCTCCCCCAGGCTGAGGCGGCACAGCCACATCTCCAGCTCACCTGTATCTGTACTCTCACAGACATCAAAGCTCACAGCTGGTACTGACCCCCTCCACCAACACATCCTGATTCTCCCTTAACTCCTCCCACTGCCTTTTCCTGACCAAGATCTCTGCAGATTTACCAGACTCTTTCCTCACGCTGAACTGGCGCTCGTCTCTCCCAGGAACACCAGCTACAACATCCTGCTGTGCCAACCTTACTTTATCATCCTTGAAGCTCAGCAGTAACAGCCCTTCCCAGCCTTCTGCCCATGGTTTATTTGTATTGCTCGCTCCTGACCCCTTCCCACCTGCAGCTGTTTCCAGCGGGTGTTGATCTGCTCCAGGGTGCGGGAATTCTCCATGCACAGGTGGACATCTGAGATGGCAAGCTGGTGTGCAAGATCATTGACCACTTTCACCCCATCCTTCATGGGGGAGAGCTCCTCCTTGAACAGCTGGAGTCCAGTGCCCAGGCACAGAGCAGGGGAAGGAGGAGAAGAAGCAGGTGAGTAGCTGGGACTTGCATTTTTTCCTTTGCTACAAGCTAGGGTGGGCTAGTGGCTGCTGACTAACCCTCCCACAGGGGGTCTTGGCAGGGGGAAAAACACCCAACCAAACTAACCAGGCTGCAGATTACTCCTGCTAAATGAAAAGGGGACAGTGACTCAGCTGTGCTGAACCATTGTACTTATGTGAGGTCTGTGCCATGATGAGGCGCTCAGCATGGCCAGTTGCTCAGGACACTGCTGGCCAACACTCCCATCACAAAGCACAGGGGCTGTAGGAAGGAGGCCTTGGCCCTGAGATCCCAGGTAATGAGGCTGCCTTGCACTGAGCAGCCCATGGGAGCAGCTCTGTCCTCCTGAGAAGCAGCTTGTCATCACCTCCACGGCCAAGGCTGGCGCCTTCTCAGAGCCAGAAGTACCTTGGTTGACTGGATGTGCTCTGGCAAGGAGTCAATGAAGAGGTCCCCGATGGGTTCCCAGGTCTCCCGCACACTTTCAGCCTGGTCCAGGGTCGTGCTGAGCTCTTCCATTGCCCCTTTAATCTCCAGCAGCTGCTCCAGGGTCCGTTCAATGTGGCGGTGCTGGTCCACACACCGGGCCGTGAGCTTCTCCCACAGCTCACTGGCCACGTTGGCCTGCTTCCAGACAAAGCGGCTGATGTTCTGGATCCGGTGCCGGGGAGACACATCTGTGAAGGCAAAGCAGGATGGAAACAGGGAGCAAAGCTGAGAGCCCAACCCACAGGAGAGTGGGGCAAGGGGTGGAGGGAGGACTGGGAAATGAGAAATAAAAAAATCTGAGGAAAAACTGGAAAAAGGGAAGGAAAACAGGTAATGATAGTATCCATCTCTGCACCAGCTCCTCTAGGTATCCAGCCTCTCTATCCTCAGAGGCAGAAGCTGTGCTGCCTTTTAAAAACCTACCCTGGAGCACATCTGGTGCTGCCTCATGAGGTGCCCTCATCATGGACTGCACCAGGAGCCTCTGTCTTTTCCAGGAACAGTGACACTGCTCTGTGCCAGCCTGACCTTTGGCCAAAGGACTGGGCACAGCCTGGGCTCGGTGGTGTGAGGCAGAGCACTGATATGCTGCTTTGTGCCACAGCAGCCACCTCCACTCCACCCTCTCCAGGCCAGCCCAGGAGGAGCTGAGAAACCAGAGAACAAAAAAAAGGAGGAGCTCCACAGACCTTTGCTTTCCAAAGTTGGTTCTTCTAATTCCTCAAATGGGTGCTGGGAAAGGAAAGCCTGTGCTGACTCCAGGACAGAGTAAATGTATGGTCCCCGAGACTTCACTTCTTCCATGAAAGCCTGGAGAGTAGAGCACAGAGATGAGACAGCAGGCTGAGCCAAAAAGCTGTGCCCTGGCTGTCCCCTTGCCAAATGCTGCAGTGATTTATTCACCCCAAGGCCCAAACCTCACTGGAGGCACAGAGAGAAGTCAGTGTTAAGAGAAATATTTTTGCAGTTCAGGGAAGGAATGACCACCTGCCAGAAGGTGGCTCCTGCAGAGGTTTGTCCTGCAGCTTTGCTGGAGTGGGGACACAGAACTGCAAGCCCAGAGTGGCGTGTTGAGCCAGGACTGCACAAGAGAAGCTGTTTCATTTATGGTGCTTTCAGATGCACTGCTTGGAGATGCTCTTCACTCGTCCAGTGAAAGCATGGCCACGCTAACAACCCTTCCAGCAGCTGCTCAGTAACAGGTCCAGCTGCTGCAGGAGCAAGGAGAGGAACAGCAGGATGCCTCAAAGCAGCACATCTGCCAGGGAAGACTTCAGAGGCATGCTAGTCTTGTATGTCCTCTCCTCCCCTTCAACCACAGCTCCCACACCAGTGCTGTCCGCTGGATGGGCTGTGTGTGCACCTGGGAAGCCCCAGCAAGGATGAGGGACAGCAGCAGTAAACATCTTAATTTTGTTTCCAAGGTAAAAACAACTAAAGCCCAACAGCCACTGGCAGTGAGAAGAAAATGCTGTGAACATGGGAGCAGGAAACTCTGATCTGCCCGGGTGTAGCCCAGGTTCAGATATGATGATAACGTGTTCCTGCAGGCATCACTCATGTCCCAGCCACAGGATTGCCCCGAGACCAACCAGCCTTCTCAGGCTGCAGGATCCCAAAAGCAGAGGCCAGTGAGAGGTAGGGCACAGGGAAGCCACTACAAATGACAGGGTTCACTACCAGCTGCAGATGACTGGAGGCTGCAACCTGAGTTTATTTTCTAAAACCAGATGGGCTCTGCCTTTTCTCAGGAAGCAGAGATGGAGACACTCAAGGAGTGGTGCACCCACAGGCTGTGGCATGGCAGTGACACGAGGCAGGGGTCCCAGGCAGGGCTGCCCAGCACAGCCCATCACAATAGAACAGGGGAGGCACGAGGAACGCACCGCGTGTGTCTCCTTCTCCTGCTGCACCAGGAGAACATCACCCCGCAGGGGCAGCTGTGCCGACAGCTCCTCATCCTTCTGCCCCAGCCAGTCGATGATCTCCTGGAGAGGCACCTGCAGCTTCCCACTGTGGTCAGAGAAGGCCTCCAGCCGAGCCCTGGCAGGACAGCAAGGACAGTGAGATGACAGACGGACAAAGAGGAGAGGAACAGGTTCCCTGAGGAGGGGAAGCACAGCACCATGGCTGGGTGCTGACCCCCAGGACCTCCTCAGGGACTGGTAGCACAGCTTAGCACGGGCTGTGCATGACCCCCAGCCAGCAGAGAGGCTGCACTGCCAGGTGGGGTGAGGCATGGAGACACCGGGGACAAGAAACTGAAGCTATTCCTCACCCTGGAGCCCAGAGTAGAGGACACTCATTCTGTGTTTGCCTGTGGGTCAGAACTGCTCTGGCTAGCAAGTGGGGCTTGGAATGGCATTTACATGTCTGGGCAGCTTCCAGGAGCCTTGGATTAAGGCAGGAGACAATTAACACGCCCCAGTTAAGCTCTCTGTCATGCTGGCCGTGGAGCTGCAAACTCTGACAGTCTGGAAGGCATGTTCCCCTCACGCAGTGGAGAGGGCTCCCAGTGAAGGGAAAGGCACAGGGGAGGTGGAGGCAAAGCCTTGGGGCAAAAAGAGACAACTGCAGAGGTGGCAGAGGATAGAGAGAGCAGCAGAAAGCAAGCAGGAGGGAGGAGAGGATGGGATGGGTAGAAATAGAGGAGATGCTTTCCAGAAAAAGGAGATTTAAAAGTCTGTGGACCAGAGGGGGAGCTGAGCCAAGGTCACTGTGAATTCATATGGTTCATCAAGCAAAAAAGTTCAAAAACCTCCTGACAATCACAAGCAGCAGGCAGGGCTGGAAGGCCAGGCTAGCCTGGAGCTTGCCCCAGGCAGGACTCTTACCGAAGGCTGTGGGATTTTTTTTTTATCTCGTTCCAGCAAAGATTCATCTCCAGAGGGGCCTGGGGCCCGGCAGCACTGCTTGGAGCCCGGGGGGTTACACACGAAGGTCCTGCACCATCCTGCGAGGCTTCAACCTGGGCAGAAACAGAACCACGCTGCATCCAGAGATTGCTGCCTGGTGCTATGGGAACTCACCTGGGGACACCCACCCCACTCTGCCCTAACCCTGACTGGCTTTTCAGCTCTCAAGGGAGCTGTCTTCTCCTTAAGTGGTCTGCTAGCAGCTCCCAGGAAACTCCTGGCTGTCTCTGGAAGAAGGATGCAGTGCCAGCTCCAGGAGCACTAAGGGCAAAGGTTGAAGGGAGGGCTTGCTGCACATCTCCTGTTCTCCTCAGTTATCCAGCAATGAGCTTATCTCACTGAGAGCTGCTAAGCCAGAGCTGGTCCTTATGTGTCACAGTGCCTGCGGGGCTAATGATGATTTTTCCCATGTTATACAGAGCTGCTGTGCTTCGAGAGGAGGCTGATCCTGCTGTTCCTAGGGACCAAGGGGATCTGCCAACATCCTTTTTGCCATCCCCAATACTGGGACTTGCCACCTGCTCCTCTACAAAGGCTCCAGGATATTCCCTGCCTGCGTGGCAAATCTGAGAAGCCACTTCTCCTCCACAGATGCTGCTTCTCCTCCGCAGCTCTCCAGAATGAGCAGCCGTGGGAAGGGTGCTGCAAAAGGCCATGGAGAGAAGACAGCAAATCCTAAGCCAGCCACACAAGGGGAGCATGTCCAGCTGGAAAAACTGGGTTCTGATCCCTGGACAACAAATCCTTGCTGGAATCCTCTCCTGAGCCTTTAGCACTGTATCATGCCCCTGCTCACAAAGCACTCTGCTTCACGTCCTGGTGACAGCAACACGCAGGATCAGAAGCCCCTCACACAGGACTCAGTGAGTGAGAGGGGATTTTCTCTCCAAAAAACACAGTTTGTTGAGCAAAACACGTGGGCACTTTCCCATAAGTGAGACATCAATGAGCTGTGTTGGAGAAACGGCAACATTTCGATCGAATGCTGCTTTGATACTAGAGCTCGCTTGAGGTAATTATCCCCAGGTGCTTAATCAACCATAATTAAATGTGTTAGTACTTTCTAAACAGCACACAACAGGCCAGATAAGGGCAGCTGCCTTGGGGGAAAAGCAGCAGCTCTTCCAAGGGGAATGAGTAGATTCTTGTCACTTGTGCTGTCCAAGGGCTCATGGAGATGTCTGGAGAAGCGATACAGCCAAGCCAAGGAAAACAACAGGCAGGAGAAAACAACCAGACAAGGAATTTGGCTGCACAGCTAAAAATACCCCCTCCACACCAGTTCTCAGAGAAAAATCAAATGATCGCCAAGACTGGTGCTAAGTTTGATTCATCTAAAAACATCTAACAGGCTGTTCTCTCTGCCTTCCCATCCTGCCACTCCAGAAACACGAAGAAAACAGAGAAAACCATCACCCACAGAGTTCACAGGCTTCTTGGGGGCACGAATAATGATCCACTCAAGCTAAAGCTGCTGCTTGCACATAGGAAAATCAATAGTCTGCATGTGCAGGTGCTCCTGGCACTGAAGTAGGTCAGTCCCACGGCACTGCCAGGGAATGCTCCAGCCCTCCCCTCAACCCAGGGGATACCAAAGGAAGGGATCAGCTCTACCTGGGTGCAACTGCAGCACAGCTCTGCAGACAGCACAGTCCTCCCAGCCTTATTAAATAAGTTAAAAGCCCACCACGCCTGTAATTCCCAAGCCCCGTAGATAATCATGTAGCAGTGACCAAGCAGAGAGCAGGTGCTGAACATCTGCGTCCCTAGGACAAAACCCCTGCGAGCGAGCAGAGGGAGAAATAAGTGCTTTCCCTCTGAGCATCCCTTCCCCAGAGCCCCAGCAGCAGCAGCCTGGACCCCCACTCCCCCTCCAGCCTGGAACAGGTTTATTTTCGGGCACGGAACACTCACGCAGGCTGTGGCCAGTGCATCTCTCTGCGCTCAGCCCCGGAGCTCGGCCGGAGGAGCAGCATCGCTCCTGCCCCGCCGGCTGCCAGCGGCAGCAGCCAGCAGGGCAATGGGCAGGCAGCGGGTGCCCGGCAGAGCTGGCCACTGACCCCCCAGGAATGTGGAGGGGGGCGGCAGTGCCTCACAGGCAGCCTCAATCCCAGCTTTGTCCAGCGGCATTCCAGCGGCCTCCAACCTGCCTTAACCCCGTGGCTGCCCTCGAAGCACACGGCGGGCAGAGATGTGCCCGCTGCAGGGCAACCCCAGGTGGGACACCAGGTGTGTGCAGGGTCATGGCCCTGGGCACTGGGGAAGATCCATCCCTGCAAGGGCAGGGCAAGAGGGATGCGCTGGGATGAGCAGCAGAGAGCTTGGCTCAGATGCTGGAGCACATCCAGAGCAGACAGGAGTGTTTGCCAGGGCAGGGATTTATCCAGGAAATCATCCCATCAAGCCTCAGTGACCCAGAAGGTAAATAGGTTCTTGAGATCTAATCCCAAAAAAGTCAAAGGTGCCCTTGTTGTCCCCCACGTGCCCCAGCACAGTGTCGGGTACCAGCAGATGTTCATGCCAGCCTGGACCAAGTGCAAATAGTTGCTTTTTGCCAAAAAGCTCTGGGCTGGCTTCTTGTGTCCCCCACAGTCCTGACGCCCAGAATTTTTATCATGCTCTCTTCCACCTACAGGGAGGGAAAGAAAAGCTCCCAGTATCTCTCCCTCTCTTCCCCTCCTTCCCTGCCTGCACATCTGACGGGTGCTGTCCCTCCCTGTGGGACCAGCACAGCCAGCTCCTGTCCTCAGGAGAGAGATGGGAGAGCAGCTCCCACACTGGAGGAGGGGGCTTCAGTGAGGCCAGGACACGGCTAAGGTTGTCTGCAGCCTGCCAGGAGCTTTCAGGACTAGCAAGGACAAGAGAGGGAGGCTGCTTCCTAGATGGCAACAGCAGCCCCTTCAAACAAGGGGAGCTGCCATTAACACTGCTCCTGCTCCCACTCCCCTCCTCTCTCCCAGCAAATCCCACAGGGCTCTGATCCCCTCACAGAGGCTTGGACTGCTCAGGCAGGTCAGGAAGGCTTTTCCCTGCTCATCTTGTTCTTTCCCTCTCCCTCCTCACTTCATTTGCCAGGCTGTTTATCAACCACCCGTGCACTGGCCCGGCAGCAGCATTGTAACAGCCACCCTGGGGCCAAGAAACCCTGACTCAGCCACCAAGAGCCAAACCAACCTGCCTCAGCCTTGCATGCTGGAGCCTCTCCAGAGACAGCTCTGCCTTCCTGCTGCAGATCCCAGCTCCCTGAGGCAGAATGGGTCCAGGCTGATGGTCATTCTTGAAGCACGACAAAAAAGGAAAAGGCAGAGCTGGGACCTCACTGCCAGTGCCCAGGGGAGCCTTTGGCACTGTCCATCAGTGTCCAGTCAGGTGAGAGGTAGCCTGGGACCAGAACTGGCAAAGAGGGATCCATGGCCTGGCAGAGCATTTCCCCACACCAGAGGTGCCAAACCACCTCAAGGCAGCTCCATGCAGAGCGCAGACAGCTTTGCAGACAGTTGCCAGCACACCTTTCTGCTCTTCACTCTGCTCTGCCATTTACCCAGGGGTCCCCAGAGACCTTCCCTCCCCCTCTGGTGAGGAGCCTGGCCGGAGGCTCAGAGACCCTGGGGGAAGGAGGAGGGAGACCAAGGTCTGTCTCTCAATATAACTAGATTAGCAAGAGGTCAGATTCCTCCTCTCCTTTCAGCATCCACCAGGAGCTTATTTCCAAGCTCTTCTCTGCAGCCAGGAAGAGTAGAAAACCTACATTTTCACCAAAAGCTGACATTCTTCCAAGTTTCCAGGAAAAAAAAAATAGCCCAACCAAATACATAAGAGCTGTTAACAGTAGCCTCTCCTTCCTCATAATGAAAGAGCCTTGAAATCCAGCTCTGCAGGTTGTCTCTCTTCCCCTACTTTGGGAAACACTTTGCAGCCAGAGAGCTGGAGAAGAGCACACGCTCTCCTGAAGTGCAGCCAACGGGGGGCTGGAGCTGACAGCCTTCCCTGCCACCAGGAACAGAGGGCCTGCTTTGCCCCACAGGAATCTGCAACCTCTGCAAAAAGCTGCCAGAGAAAGACTCCCAGAGCCAGCTCTTACCTGAGACAGTGGGCGGGCAGTGCTGCTGTGCTGCGCCTGGTCCGGGATGTGCCACTCAGGACATCGCGGGAGGACATAGAGCCATTCCTGCATCACCAGGGGCTGCATCAGAACTGATGGTCATGGGGATGGAGCACCTGAAAAGCAGCGTTAGAGTCCCTGGGTCAGCTTGCACCTCCCCATAGAGCTGACACAGCCACCTGGAGCGCTGCCTCCACGGCAGCTGGAGACTAAAAGGAAGCATTCTTTAATTTAATATACTTCTCCTAGTGTTGCAGTCTTGTTTCATCTAAACATCCAACTCTTTTTTTCCACCTGGCTAGGCAATTTGCTGTATTGATACACTGCTAGTAAGTCCCATAGTTTATATTGCACTTTTAGAAAGGGTTGGGTTTCTTGAACTGTACAAGATGCCCATGGGTTTAAAGGAAGGGAGAGAGAATCTCACTGTCATGACCACTGTTGTATCTGTGAGATAACATTCACTTTCTTCCTAGCAGGCGGTACAGTATGGTTTTTAATCCAGAACAACTTATGTTTAGACAGAACAGACATATCTCCATAAGAGACAACATCTTCAAGCATATTTTTTCCTTTTATATTCAGAAGGCGAATTGCCTAGAGCCCCAGCTTCATGTCTCTCATACTGTGAGCTAGCTTTTTATGAGTTTTTGCTCATTTTGAGCTATAAAATCCCCTTCATTATCCCCATTTTTGAGCTACATGACCTGTAAAAACCAGTTAGCAGTGGCCCCTTGACTATTCTATCAGACTGTTCTATTCAGATCAGAAATGCAACCTCTGGTCACAATGCTGCTGGGTTTTGTTGTTTGGACTCTAAATTAGCTAAAATAGGGATTTATTTCATTGCCAGCACCATCTCAGCTTTATGGAAAGCCATGAGAAATAAAGCTCAGAGAAAAGCTGGTGAGTGCTTTCCTGCTTTTAGAAGGTAAAAATCACCTGCTCCAG